AGTGAACAAGGACTAAACCAGGACTAAACCAGGTCTAAACCAGGACTAAACCAGGACTAAACCAGGACTAACCAGGTCTAAACCAGGACTAAACCAGGACTAAACCAGGACTAAACCAGCAAAAAAAGGTATCCTAAACCTGTAACGGAATGAAGAAATGGCCTGTATTAAGAAGGACTGCATTTGAGAAAAATAATTAGCTGACATTTTATTAAATAGCATTTGTGATTAGATAGCAATCATTTAAAATTAAATTAAACTAAATCAAGGCACGGCAGGAGCATAAACATTTAAAAGAAAACTGCAATCATTTTGGCTCAAATAAATGTTCTCTTATCTTATTTAACATAAATCAGCATTTTAAAGGGCCAGATTGCTCTGTTTTCTGTGTTAAAAATTAGTTTCCTCATCACAACAACAAAAATCCTGCATATTTAGGCTGTGCTCTTCTCTTCGGAAAACACCCTGTTCCACCTTGTGATGTCATGTGGTAATACAGGAAGTGTGTTTTTAAACTCCATACACCTTCACTAGAATTATTTTCATAATTTCATCCCTGGAATTTCCAATCTCTGCTAAACAAAAGGTAAAATGCCGTTATTAACTTGAAAACGACTTCTTCATAACATCACAAGGTGGAACAGAGCATTTTGAGTTTTTGGGATGTAGACAGACTAATACTGCAGGGTTGCTCAAACGTGAATGAAACAAAACACAACTCCAGATATGTTTTTGATGAGGTAGCAAGGTAGCTCTGGACATTATAATACCTTTATGATAGCTTTTATAGGCTTTCTATTCAATTGCAGCTGTAGCTTACACCAGTATATACCATATCAGTTTGAAAAGCACTGCCTTAGCCCTTCTTGGCAGTGTTTTTTTTTTTTTTGCCCTCACCTCAATAAAATAGGGGCAGGTCATTCCCTCTGTGCAGATGGAACAGGGAAAATCTCCTTGTAGTTATTGATTTTGCTGTCTTTGAGCTGCTGCGGTGCTGGAGTGAAGGCTTTAGGTATTCAAGAAACACAGAGCTGACACAGAGGAGAAGAAGAGAGAAAGCCTGCTCTAGACATTGTATGCTGATATTAAAGGACCTATATTACACTATTTTCTGATCCATGTTTTACTGTTGTTTCCTTAACACAAACATACCTGGTGTAGTGTTTCATTTCATCCATACTTGTTTAACACACAAACCCTGCATAGGCTTAGGCTTTGGTTTAGGATGTAGATAGACTAAAAATAAATAAAATAATAAAATAAAGGAATAACAGAACAGAACTTGGAATGAACCAAACCACTCCAGGTATGTTTTTGATGAGGTCAAAATATTATAACATGGCTTTAAGCCCAACTTTGCATAATATAGGACCTATATATAGGAAATTTCATTCTCACATTGGCTTCTTTTATATAAATAAATATGAAAAGAGCCAGTCTTCTGAATGGCTCCTTGACCTGAATAGATCCAAAAGATTCAGATCCCATAAAAGAGCTGAAAGTCCCATCACTGATTCTGAGATTCACACTACTGTCGTTATGCAGTTTAATTTTAGTTATATGCAAATGTCAGACCATTCTTCTTTAGAATAAGATACAGGCTCAAATTGGACATAAAGAAAATGCTGAAATTTCAGTTATCTCAATGCATGAATGAAAATTTGATTAACACTGGAAGTGCTTAATTAGCAGAAAAATACGCCGCTTTTCCATTGGCTCAAGGATCCAGGGTTTCAGTGTAGTTCAGTGTGGGTAGGGTTAATGTCACCCAAACAAAAATATGTTCTTATTAAATAAAATTATAATTCCATTCTTTAATCAGTGAGTAATTCTTAAAAAGCCATTAAGTAATTCTAAGTTTCTAGTTTAGTGAGACATGGGAGAAGTAAACATAACTACAGGAAGAGATGGTGTAGTTCTGCACTAGATGCAAAAAAACTTACAAATACAGGTGGTCATGTTTGCTATGCTAGCGGTTGCAAGAGTGAATGTGGAGCCAGGCTCTATTTTACAACTAGGAATTTTTAATTGACAAAATAGCAGGAAACACCGGGATCATGTAGAGCGGGTTAATGCGAACAATTTAAGACCAAATTGACAAGGCTCACAGCAGCAGAGAGGCGACAAAATTCTTATGTAAGTCAATGGGAGTCAGGGTCAGAAGGAGCCGGAATAACCTGCAGGCGAACTTCCTATTTGGAACGCGACAGTTTATGCATTGTACTCAGGGCAGTTGAGCATTTGTTTACACTTTGCTATGGTGATGACCAGAGAGCAGTGTGATTTAACTCTTGTTGGACTACTTGTGCGTTATGCCATATTAATCACGGCTTTTTCATTTTAATGCCGTATATTTAAAAATTTGTTTACGTACTTCCTTATTTCACTGTTGTCATATATCGTCCTTCAAAATTTGTTATCATGCCAAGCCTAGTCCAAACTACGGCCTGGCTGCCAAATATGAGAACTTTTTAGCTCTAAGACCTCCTACTGAATCAATGTAACTGTTTTAGCCATTAAAACTATAGTCCAAAATAAATATTCCATGTCTTATTTGAGCATAGCCATGTTGGATTCACCCATCTGATCGACTCACTGTACTGAGGTCTTTGGCCAAATATGTGGCCCTCTGGAAAAAAATTTAAGATTTGATATCCATGTATATCTTTAACGTGGTAAATGGTCACTTTTTTATTTAGTGCTTTTCCAACTTCACAGGACTCAAATTGCTTTACATCATGGCTACACTGGTGTTATGTCCTTGTGCACTTCAATCACATTGCCTAGTATGAAAGTGGTGTGTGCATGAGTGAAGGCGGGCATCGGAGGGGTTGATGGCGCAGATTGGAAGAGTGTGGAGTGAATGAATAATACTTTGTAAAGCGTCTTTGAGTGTTCAGAAAAAGCACTATATGAAACTGATTATTATCATTATTATTATATCAAGGAGCCACTCACCCATTTCACTCAGAAGTTCATCCATCCACCAGTGTACACAGACATTGAGGGGGCGAGGTGGAGTAAGTATCTTGCCCAAGACATAACGACAGCATTCAGCATTTATTCAGCATTGTACCACCAACCTGAGGGTCAGTCTAACACCTCTATCAGTGATGTTCATGTTGAGAGCGGGATTTGATCATTGTACAAACGCTCTACCAACTGAGCTCCTACATTCACCAGGGGCCATTCTATTTACCTGATCAGCAATTTTGATTAGTAATACTTTGTTTAGAACACTATTAAATAAACCTGCTTCACTGAACACATACATTTGAATTGGACAATAACTTTTGGATTCTCCAGTATCCACTCTTTCAGCTGTACCCTATACCTCATTATTGTCTTTTCCATAGTTATGAAGAGAATTATAGCTGTGCTCCAGATGATAATATGTTTCCTGCCAAGAGGGACAAAATTAGGGCGTTAACTACAGCCTATTAAAACAGCATTACACTGTGTAATGGCTTATCGACATCTGGCAAGCTGCAGTAAAGCAACATTCCCAAAAACATAATTAACCACACGCAGGGAAAATAGCAAATAACATTTATTATTAACTTAATATAATTTAGATTTGATAAACTAACTACATAACCCGAGTAGTAGAAATGTTGGGACACTGCATTGATTAAAAGTCCTATATTACAAAGAACTGTGTCTTGTGAGCTTTAAGTCATATTATAATGTTGTTATCTCCTCAAAAACAGACCTGGAGTTGTGTTTAGTTTCATCCAGACATGTTTGAGTAACTAACAATCCAAATGATTGTAAAGGTGCATGGAGTTTAAAAACACAGTGGAGCACTTCCTAGATTACCACATGACATCATAGGAACTCAGGGTTTGTGTGAATCCAGGTGTGTTTTTGATGGGGAAAGAACTTTATAACAGACACCAGAAAACAGCGTAATATAGGCCCTTTAAAACCAAAATGTATCTACAATAAAGATATTCATGGGTTCAGTTTCTGTTACATGCAAAAGTTTGAGGACGTTTTCCCATTCAAAAAATATTTTCTTTTTATTAATTGCGTTGGCTGTGATCCTAATTTTTCATCATTCTGAAACCCATGGATAGCCAAAGATCATTAACAATTATGCAGTCAATATGGTTTTATTAATAAAATAATTGGCAACATTTTTTTGCATTAAGATTAAAAAGGAAACTTTGGGAATAATAAGAAAAAAGCATGCACTTTTGTACAGCATAGTCACACTTTCAACACCAAATAGGTCATTTATGGTCACAAATCATCTCACCTGTTATAATTCCAGCTCAAGGTGCATTGTGTAGCTTTTCTGGGGGAGGGTGAAATGTTTTTCTCCATGGAGATGTCAGTGCTTTGTCTGGAATGTTTCACAGTATGGCATTAAACCTTTATATCTTCATGGAGACCAAATCAAGTTTTCTAGGTATTTTTGAACAATAAAACCACCTGTGATTTAATAAATGTAAGGTAGAGTTGTTTAATGTTATACTATGGAACATTCCGAGCAGAGCAATGACATAGCTATAGAAACAAGCAGGTGACAGATCCCCACCCAAAAAGTTACATAGTGCATCTTTAAAACAAAGCTCAGATTAAAGTCTAACTTGAGTTTCAAACAGAGCAGTGCTTTCATTTAGCTTCACACCCCCAGAGAATGTTGATAACATCAGCAGCAAAGCACAGAATTGTATTAAATAAAAAAATAGAACACATTTTTATCACCATACCGTGCAGTCCTAATTCAGTGTCCCAACTTTTCATAACTAGGTTTGTATCAGGTGCATACAGTAAAGTATTGTTTTACATGCACATTAGTGGGTTGCAAACAATAGAAAAGCATGAAGTCTCTGCCAGGCAAATCTATGTGAGAAACAAAGCGATCGAACTGAGATAAACCATCGTAAATCCTGGTAGTTCTCATCAAACCGCATCATGTCTGTAAAAATAGTCATCTCCCTAGCAAGGCGTGAGTACAGTACAGGTTTTTTTCAGCACTTTTTCAGCACTTTTCAACGATCAGCTGCCATTTTGCGCAGCTTTGGTGGCAGTTTATCTTCTGGCCTCCCTCCCGAAAGCAGTGGACTATGCATTGGCACCGGAGATGGGCAGAGCGTGGGTTGTAGGCTCTGCTGGTAGAGATCTCCCGTGGATTGGGTCATTGGTTCGAATCCCACTTTTAGCGACTTTAGCTGTAGCCTGTTTTCTGTGTCATTTACATTGGACGAGCTCAGACGCTGTAGTTTCATAGGCAAGTCCCCAGTGCTACACGCCTTTTCTGAATTATGCGAACTCAGTAGCAGCACTTTTCTTTGTAAGTCTTCCTTCCCCGATGAGCTGATTCGTTGGAGTTTGCTTGGAAGTCTCCCGCTACCTCCTCCGTGACGGTTTTTGTCTTCCACGGCATTGATGCAGTCCACGGAAAATACTCGGTCACGTCTGGTCCCGTGGCTGTCGCTGGTGAGGGCAAGAGTGGGCGTGGATACGGGGGAGGGGAGGGAGTTCTTCTCTTCGAACTCTTTCATGCTGTAGGGAGGGGTGGGGACCTCGAAGGTGCTGTGGAACTGGGAGTAGTCGACCCGGAAAAAGCCCTCCTCCAGAGACATCACCGGGAGGAAGCGGTGTCCCCAGAGAACCTCGTCTTCAGTATAGGAAGTCCGTGCCTGGCAGGTCATACCTATGGCGAGAGAAAGAGATGGATTTATTTATGTTCATACTATACTTCAATTTCATACTTGATTTTGATACGAGGAACAGACTTGATATTTATTACTAAAAGGTCTCATATTGCACTGTTTTCTGATCTATGTTCTAATGTTGTTTCCTCGTTATAACATACCTGGAGTTGCGTTTTGTTTCATTCATACATGTTTAACACACAAATCCTGCATATCTGGGCTACATTCAAGAAGCTTAGGGTTTTTTGTTTTCACACCAATCAACTCGATATACAAAAACGCAGTAACACGAGGAACCGTATGGGACTTTCACTCCTGTCTGGTGTTATGGAGGTGCTCGCCAGCCTGCGCACAAATGAATGGATGTCTGCTACGTACAGATCTCGCTGGTGTTCAGCTGTTGCAGAGATTCAATTCTTTGATGTATGAGTAGGCAGGATCTGTGTTTGCCAGCTGTTCTTGCAGTAGCCGAAGCTATAGCCGACCATTGATGATATTCATTTTCTACGTTTTACCAGAGGTTTTATATAACATGTTTTCTCAATCCTGGCAATGTTTTTAAAAAGTCAATAGAGTACGTTATAACATGTTTATTCAAATATTAGGCTAAATGACTTTTTGCTGTGATAAATGAAAATACTGTTTTACTTTTAACAAGTTTTCTCAATAATGGCAATCTTTTTAAAAAGCCTACAGATTAAAAAGCATACAGCATTTTTGTTTAAATATTAAATGTCCTTTTTCTGTGGTAAATGAAAATGCTGTTCTACATTTGACATGTTTTCTCAATCCTGACAATGTTTTTAAAAAGCCCAACAATGGATTACATCCATTTATAAAAAAAAAAAAAAAAAGATGTTTTCTGTAACAAAATGTTGTTGTCATTTAGTTGTTTTTTTTTTTTTTTTTTTTGGCTGAAGAGGGCAGGTTTTCAAACTTGATTGGGCGGAAATCAGTAAACCCAATCTGGGAACACTGCATACACCTTCACTAGAACCATCTGAATGATTTCAGCGCTGCAAATTGCCAGATCTCCTCTCAGCAAAATGTAAAAGGTAGCTGTTAACTTGCAAACTACTACAGACTAATAATAAAGGGTTACTCAGCCATGTGTGAATGAAACAAAACACAACTCCAGCACCGAACAATTAATCATTAACCCTAACAAAACCCCAAAGCATTATCAAGACAAGAGAAGATTACAAATGTAAACTACTGTGTAGGTATTAGAGTAAATGAGCAGGTTTCCCATGGCAACAGAGACCAGACACACTCAGTCCAGCATCCTGTATCTGTATTCAATTATCACATCTTTCTTCAGTGATTCCCTGACCAGCATTTAACAAGGCCTGGGTCAGGGGAGCCCTTGTTTTCCACATGCCCCGTGCCCTGACACCACTGCCACTTTCAATCTTATCGATGTAATTAGCAGTCACTCAGCTCCTAACACGCATCAATACATCAATGGGTAGAGTCCTGCCTTCACATGTCTAAACTAGCCCCATTGTACAACACAAAGCACTGTGTGAAAGAATTTCTGTGTTATTTTAAATATTATGAATCATTTAAAATCATAATCATTTGTGTGTGTGATTAAAGTTGACCACCTGAGTCACTGTGAGTCCAGAAACCTCGACGTGTAAGAGACGCAGGACCTCGCACTACTAAGCAGCGACAGTGTTCTTACGAGAAGTACGGGCTGGTAACCCCTGCTTCTTGGGCACTGCAACGTGGTCAGTCACTTGGTCACGTGAGTGACTGTATACAACATCAGCCTGATTATCTGACGCAGCCTTGAATCCCAGCCTGCGGAGCCACAGCCTCAGAAAGGGGACAACAAAGAAGTATGGTTACAGTGAAAAATGATGCTCTCCTGAGGGGTTTTGAAAATTTAAAATTAAGAAATTTGTGTTTAGATTCAGGTCTAGACAAACACACAGACACACTCATTTATTGCAACGACTCATTTCAATAAAAAAGGGGCAAATATAGCATACGGCAACACCGGGAGGGGGTTTAACTTGTAACGAAAGTTTTGATAGCATATCATGGGGAAAAAAAAAAAAATGATACTGCATGAAAACACACTCTCACCTTACAGTGAATTTAGATTTTAGGGGGCATGGAAAAATGTCGTGTTATCCATTTTTACATCAATGCTTAGTGGTATAAGTGTTTTTTGTGTTATGTTGTATTTTATGTATCCGCTTGCTCCTGATAAGGGTGTTGGACAGAATTGAAGTATATGTAGCTGAAGAGCATGAATCTGCTTAGAAGTAATAGTACTCTGAGGTAAAGCATTATTGATAAACAGGAGGGAAATGTGAAATTCTGTGTTATTTTAAATATTATGAATCATTTAAAATCATAATCATTTGTGTGTGTGATTAAAGTTATCAACAATTGCGTTTTTGGGTTTTTCCATATGTATATCATATGTCCTAGTTAAAGAACTCCTGACTCATTAAGCTAATCTACTGAGTCGCCCATGAGAAGACAGCTAAGGGTTTTTCCCCTCATGTGGTTAGCATAAGTTTTTGGGAGAAAACTGACCAAATTGTTTATCACCTGGAGCCTCTAATCAAGTGTGAAATGGGAGGGTGGTTTAGCCTAAAGATTGTTAGCATGTGATCATTGTAACCATTGTGTGATATAACATAATGTACTGTATTGTTATCTGTGAAATGACTGCAATAAAAGCTGCTGTTGGGAGGAGAGCTGGCAGAGTAGAGTCGGCTCAGCCAGTGGTATTGACAGGCTCTGACAGCTCTCTCTCCTTGCGCAAGTATTACTTTTAACTGTCTCGTTTTGGTGTGTCTTATTTAATGTAATTTGATGTCTTAGGGTAAATTCCCTGACACACTGGTCACAACCTCTGCTCCTGCACGTGCTGTTTCTGTGTGAGCGAGGTTTGTTTATTAAAGCTGCACTATGTACCTTTTCTATAGGATGTTCTCCTACAGTATGTGCTTGTTTTGAGATGTTGTGTTTTGTTTTGTTTATGTTGTGATGTGTGGCATGTTTCAAGGTGTGGTATTTATGGGTTTCAACTTCCTGTTCATAGGTGACATTTTGAGGACTTTTCACTGTTAAGACATGATGTTTTGTTTTGAATTGTAGTAATTTTTCTATCATGCTGAAACAGATGGACTAAATACATCGTCTAGCGATGTTTATATTACTGAAAAACATGCATTCGTTATGTGTGCAGGGTCACTTCTCCATAGATCTGACCTGTTCCTTTGCCACTATTGATCAGTTTAATGTCAGAGAAGGTGGCCTACTTTCTTCAAGTTACATAGTTCACGTTTAGTAAACATGCACATAATAGTGACAAAGAGCAAGAAGATATATTAACATGTATAGTTCTTTTAAGGTTTCTAAAGTATTTTAAAAAATGCCCCATAGCTGCATTCATTCATTTTCAATACATAACCTCATCTGTTTTGATTTTTCTTTTTCTCTTTGACATTTAGATGTTTGCTCTCAGATGCTCACAATCAATAAGCACTTAGCCTGTGTTTATCTGAGGCTCAGTCTGGGCACACACACAGTGAAAGCCCTGTGCCCTGTTCAGCCCTCATAGACGTTACATTGCGCACAGGTTTTGTGAATGCGGTTTCTATTTTATGTATCAATTACTCTGTCTCTTTTAATCTAGAAAGACTTTGCATGCTGCCATTGTGCCTATGAGCAAGACCTTTCAGTTGCGTCACACAGTTGCAATAATGTGTCTGGATGTACTTCTCAGCAACGGCTTGTCTCCATGAAGAGGTTATTGCATTGCCTGAAATGTTCCACTGTATGGCATTACATTTGCTTGTATGAGTCCATCTATTCAGCAAGCAGATGTTTTAATAGAAAAAAATGTACTGTAAATAAGCCCACCTATGCACATATCTGACTTGTAACTCGACCTGGTGGAATTACTTATCATGGAGATAGTTTAATGCCATACTGTGGAACATAGCACAGAAATAACAACCCCACTGAAACCTAAAACAGTGAACACTCCTCCAGAAAAGTTACACAATGCACCTTTTAGTATTTAAATAAAACAAAACCTATTTTACTTTTACTATAGCCAGAAACTCCCTCCCACTGTTATCATATTTCCTATTGTCTCTATTCAAATGTGTGTTAACTTTTTGTTATTTTACTGTAAAAGTATGTTTAAAGTGCCTAAACTGTGCTTAACATCCCACAGAGTCAGCCTATGCGTCTCGTCTCATTATTCTCGCGGCTTAAAGATTTGGTACCAGCTGCTTAAAGTTCTACCCGCTGATCTGAGCTGAAGGGGTTTTAGTGTAAAATGTTGGCAGAGTCAGGGCAGGCGGTGGACACTGGCGTCTCTGAGGGGTATTTCTGGCGTTCGCTTCACTGGCTCTGTTCCTTGTTGTATTATTAGACCTTTTAACCAATGGCTCTATTTACCTGACCTCTTCAATGTTAAACTATACAGTTCAGAGGGAAAACAGAGAGCCTGCATCTGTTTAACCCACATTATGTAACCTCAAGCCAAACTGTCTAAATGGAGGTCACTGTAAATGTGTAATATCTCTATTCATGCCAAACAATAGACATTAAGAAGGTGCACTGTGTAACTTTTTAGGGCCTGTCACCTGCTTGTTTCTGTGAAAATGTCATTGCTCGACCTGAAGTGTTACACAGTATGACATTAAGCAGCTCTTCCTAAATTACAAGTGGTTTAGTAGCTCAAAAGTACTTAGGAAAACAGGCATTCTGACTGTGAGTGGGGTCACCTCTCCACAAATCTGACCTGTAATTTGGTCTGGTTTGGTCTCCATGAAGATAGACAGGTTTAAAGCAATAACATTCCCACCAGCAAAGTTACACAATGCACCTATTAAAGATGCACTGTGTAACTTTTCCATCAGTGGATTGTAAGATGGAGATGTTATTGTTTTGTCTGGAATGTTCCACAATATGGCATTCAACTTATTTATTCCCATGGTGACAAGCAGATAATGCCTTCATGCCAAGTTACAGATGATGTGTGGAGAGGTGAGTTCACTCACGATGAGAATGCATTTTTTCAAACCATAAAATATCTGCAATTTAATCCATTTTAAGTTTAATGCCATACTTTCAGACAGAGCAAAAGCATCTCCATGGAGATGTGGCTGACTGTCCACCATGTCTGTCCCTGATCCAGTTTAGGTGTTTGATTTTCAACAAAAAGGTGGGAGTGACTAACTGGAAAAACTGTTGGCTAATACTAACTAGTTTGTGTCTGTAATGTTCTTTGTCAGAGACTTATTTAACAGCACAAATCAGCTCACCTGTTGTTGTTCCAACTAAGACACTTCTCTGTGGTCAGATTGTGTTAAAAATAAAATGCAGATTAAAGTCTAATTTGAGTAAGAGAGTTCAGACTGAGTAGTGCTTTCAGTTAGCATCACACCCCCAGGGAATGTTGATGATGTCAGCTGCAAAATATCTATTCATTGCTGTTATTTGTATTTCCTTGAATACTGAGATTTAAAATGGTCTTTCAGAGTGTTTTCTTCTGGCATTTTTGGCCACATTGGGATATGTCAATTCACAAGTTGATTCACACCTACAACCCACTGGTTTACTGGTCTCACTGCTGACACACTTTGCTGAAATCATCTAATAATATTTTAAACTGTCAAATAAGGAGTTTAGTACAAAATAAATCCCTATCCAGGTCCACTAACTCAATACAAAATGTCTATAGTTCATGAATGCGTCTGCAGAATCGATATTTCTGCTTAGCTGTGAATCTAAACTCCACTGACAGGAATAATGGAAATACAATAAAGATAAAGGAGAGAGCAGCTCAGTCAGCAGGATCTGGATGTGAGACATCATTTTTATTTTGTGTGACTGTGAAATGAGGCCTGAATATGTAAATTTGTCTTTAAAGCTTCAAAAATGTTCAATTATAATGGGAACGTTTTATTGAAAAGGGAGATTAGTCCCTCCAGCCCGCGTGTCCTGGGCCTACCCCGCAGCCTCCTTCTGGTGGGACATGAACAACTCCGCAGGGAGACATCCAGGGGGCATCAGCAACAAATGCCGCTGCCCCAGCCACAGCTACTCCTTTCCTCGTGGAGGAGCAGTGGCTCCACTCTGAGCTCCTCCAATGTGACTGAGTTGCTCAACTTATCTCTGTGATAGGAAACTCATTTCCACCACTTGTATCATCGATCTTGTCCTTTCAGTCATTTTCCAAAGCTCATGACCATAGGTGAGGATAGAACATAGACTGAGCAGTAAATCAAAAGCCTTGCCTTTGGACTCAGCTCCTTCACTACAACAGTCTGATACGGTGACTGCATCACTGCAGATGCTGCACTTCACTCCACCTATCAATCTCACATTCCATCCTCGTAAACAAGACCCTGAGATTCTTGAACTTCTCCACTTGAGGCAAGGACTCTCCACCCACCTGGAGAGGGCGCCACCTTTTTTTGTTTGAGGACCATGGCCTCGGAGCTGATTTTCATCTCAGCCACTTCACACTTGGCTGCAAACAGTCCCAGTGCATATTGACATTACTTTATCTTTAAGAATACATAAACATATACAGCATTCCTTCAAATATCAAGTTCTAACAGTGATGATGGTTTCATTAAAGGTGCATTATGTAACATTTGACAGTGGGGATCAGAGTGAACCTTGCTTGACTCCCTGTAGATCTTATTGCTTTGCTCTACAGTGGCCTTGCATTTATTCAATGTCAGATGTTATTGCTAAAATACATTGAAAGCATTTCCGTTCTTATAGTGAGGGGGGTCGCCTCTCCACAGATCTGACCTGGACCTTGGCCTGATGGTGTCATCTGCTTGTCTCTGTGGGTACTGTGTAATGTTTATTGATAGGATTCTCATTAGCGCGGACAAGGTGCAGCTATTTTTCTTGGGGTAATATATAGTTAATCTACTGGCATACTGTGGAACATTTCAGGCACAGCAATAGCCCTCCACCATAAATGTTACAAATGATTCTCAATTATAAAATAATTATAAATTTAATTCTAAAGCTATTTTTCATCCAAAACAAAGAACATTTATTTCAAGTTCCCTGTTGTAACAATCTTGTTAACTCCACACTGAAGTGTCAAGTGAATTTTAAAGTTACCCAGTGCACTTAAAGGGGGGGATTTTACAGAAACAGAGTTATTAGCGTAATATAAAATTGATTTTCAAGAATTTGGAATTGATCCAGAATTGTTAAGATGCAGAATCAGGATCCTTTTGCAAATCAGTTTTTCTCAACACCCCTGTAAAAGTTCTTTATTAGTTACATGGGACGAGGCAACAGGTTACAACAGGAGTGCTGGTTTTATACTACAAACATGGCCATCTTCACATCTTCAGCTTTTGAGCCTTGAGAAGCACCCTTTCTGGACTTTAACCTAAGAAGAAAGTCCCCTGAATCTCTGACTCCTTCTATGTTTTATGTTTTTATTATTCTAAACTTATGCCAAATCAATGACCGCATTTTGTCCCCAAGAAAATTCTGAGACTATAGGACAAGATAACCCATTTCCCGCAGAAGTCTCACTGACAGTTTGATGGCGGTGTTAAAGATGCCACAGTAGAACCTCCCTTTACCTCTTCTCTTCTACTCTGCAACTCCAAACTCGTGTGATTTAATGTTATTATCAACAGTGTGCAGGCCTCCCCACTGATTCTCCCTTTGCTATAAGCCTATTCAGCCCTGCACTGCCTCTGTGACAGCCAGGGAGAGAGAAAGAGGGAGAGAAAGAGACAGAGAGAAAGAAAGAAAGAAAGAAAGAGGGGAAGACCTGGAAAGCTACAGCAATATCCAGATTTATTGGTACTTTGAGCTTTATGGAAGAATTGCTTTGTTGAATATGCACCAAAGTCTATTCTCTTTGCGCCATTGATTCCTTCACAACAGATATGTATTCAGACATATTTTTCTTTTTTATTTCAGATGGGTGCAAAGTCAATATTGTTTTAAGACTTTCTTCTCTATTTTCATCACTGCTGTTCTCTTTGCTCATTGTAATAGAGATGTTTTACACTTGTTTTTGTTTAAAGTGAGTGACAGTAGCTCAGTTCATCCACTGACAGGAAGGTTGGCAGTGTGATTCCAGCTTCCACAGATGAATGCTGTCATTGTATCCTTGGGCAAGGCACTTCACCCAGCTCATTCCCAGTGTCTGTGTACACTGGTGTATGTGCATGTGAATGGGTGAGTGGTTCCTTGATCTAAAGCGCTTTGAGTGCCTTGAAAAAACACTGTATAAAAATGTTACCATGACCGTGAATCCATTTAAATTTGAATTCATTTTTATTCATTTTTTTGACAACTATCTGTCACTCTGATTTCTCCTGTAACCATAAATTAAAGGTACATTTTAGGTGAGGGGTCTGCCCGGAGCTCGTCTCAATGGAGATGTTTTTACTTTGCCTGGAATGTTCCACAGTATGGCATTAAACCATCTGTCTAGGATTTATTTAATCACACACACACAAAAATGCATTCTTATGATAAGCAGGCTTTCCTCTCCATAGATCTTACCTGTAACTTGGCCTAGTGGCATTACCATGAACAAGTTAAGTTCAGGTCCATACTGTGGAACTTTCCAAACCAAGCAACAATGTCTCCATGGTGACAGGCAATTGGCAGACTCTCCAAAAGTCACACAGTGCACCTTTAACAGAACTAGGATGAATAACACAGCTTGTTGTAGTGTTATTTTGTTTTCCTTTCCAACATTATAGATTGATTATTTTCCTCATTATTTAGTAGACAGCAGATAGAATAATACATTATAATATCTTTGTCTCTATTGTAGAAACCCTTCGCCCTGAGCTCTCATCTGAAAAATGGTCTGTAACGTCTCCCCAAAGCTCTCCTCATTCATCACCGTGACATCCATGACCACCAGCCTGTGTAATGCACCCAGCGCCTCCAAAACCATTTGTGTGTGAGTAAAATGTATCTTTTATAAATCAGACCCTCTGTCTCCCATGTCTTGGCCTTGTGTGTGTTTGAATTATATCTCATATTATTATACAGTGGAACTAAAGAGATGATGAGAGAGAGATGGCAATCGATTTTTTTTTTTTTTTACATTTCTATTGCTTTCATGTTGGTTCATACTGATTTGGTTTTGTATTATTATATATAGATAAGTTTAAAGAAATTATCCTGTTTGCTGTGTGGTTCAGTGGTGACCCATTCTTGACATATATATATATATTTGTTTAAAAGTACCATATGTAACTTCTGATGGGCGGTCTGCCACCTACTTGAGGGAAGTGTAATAGCTTTTCTTGGAATGTTCCACAGTATATGGCATACTGTATATATATATGTAGCTTTTTCTTTTCAATTACAGGTGTTTTTATTAGTCTAGAATGTCTTGGAAAACTCATTCTTACTATGAGAGTGAGGTTCTCTATCTATGGATCACCATGGAGACCAATTTGTGGCAGACTCACACCAGTAAAATTTTTAAAGCACCTTAAAAAAAGTTATACATGATTTTTTTTGCCATCTATTTGAGAAAAAAAAAAAAAGAAATCTTGCCCCAGTACAGCTATACTGTATACAGTAAGCCGCTTTTGGGGTCAGCTGCATGTTATCTGCATTTTATTATAAAGAGTTTTGTTGTCTGATAACCAGGAATTGCACTGATAGCATGCTAGTTGTTTTTAGCTTTACAGAGATGGCAACCTCGGAAAGATGCTCTAAATGCATAAGATAAATGAGTAATATGTTTGGACCGCTGCAAAATGAACTAATTCTGTTTTTTATATTTCTAAGACAGAAAAGATAAGGGGCAGCGCCTTTAACACCAACAGAATGTACTATTATTAAAACCTCAAATATTTGCACTCACCTGTGGTCTCTACGATGCCCTCGAGGATGACCACAATCTCAAACTGCTCGTTCATGAGGGAGCGCTGGGACAGGTCAAAGAAGGGGCTCTTGGTGTTGATCTCGTGGCAGATAGTGAGGGGAGACACCAGGAAGAGCTGATCTGCTCCGGTCCCAAAGCCCACATCCAGCTCACACTGGTCCAGAGGCAGGAACTCTCCCTCTGGGGTCTGCCGAGACTACACAGCAACAAAAGATTAGTTTAGTTGCCATTAGTAGTTCAAAACCACACTGGAAAAAAATATGTTAAAAGCTCAAAGAATAGTAAAATAGACAAGAAAAAATAGACAATCGTTACAGACAGCATTTACATACACTTATATTACAGATGGGAAGCGTAACGTAAATGTTTTTGATAATTGATTTCATGGACTTTAAACAGGGACCTTTATACTTCTATGGGGTGTCAATTGCTAATTATTATAATTATACTTTTTGTTTTGAAAATGCCATATTTGCCAAAAGCAACGCATTAAAATGTTAACAAAGTTTTGGTTTTGAAGCTCTTCGTCCCTTGTCACATCACAATCACCATGCATCTTGCTAATGAAAGCACTGCACATCACATCAGGTTTGTGAAGTTGTCATGTGGGAGCATGGGTGACGTAAGCTTGTGGGCTGAATATTGGACAGAATCATACAGCTAACCGTAAAGAGGGCCAGGGAGACATCACCAGATTACTGAAATATGGATGAACGACATATTAAACTTCTTCTGACATGTTTTTGATTATTACATGGTAGAAAGCTCCAAAAAGCTGATTTTCTATAAGACTCCCTCTTTACAGTACAAGCTGTATTATGACCTGGAAGATCTGAAGAAGACATTATCATTAAAGGTGCTTTTCTGGTGGAGTGTCCACCATCTGCTTGTCACCATGAAGATATTATTGCTTTTCTGGAGAGTTCCACAGTATGGCATTAAATGTATATATCTTCATAGAGACAAACAGGAGATGCCAAAACAATTTACAGGTCATATTTATGGAGAGGTGGCCCTGCTCACAAGAAGAATGTGTGTTTTTCAAGCTATTTTTGAGCAATAAACACATCTGTGGAGGTTTGACCCGTTCAATGCTAACTGGTGCAGAAGATTTTAATTGCATGAATGAGCCCGTTTCACTCTGGTTTTGTCTTTTTGTCTTTTCCGTAACTGTTTTCTTCTTGCCTTAGAGCCAGTCCTTATTTTTAAATGAGATATTTTGTGTTTGTGTGACTGTTCGACTTAACCTTTACTCAGTGGTTGATAGAGTAACAGAAAGATAAACAAAAGCATCATTATTTTGGTCCTGAAGGCAGAGCTGGCCCGAGTTTTTCAAAGACTATTTCATAATGTGAAGGCTTTTGAGGTCTAACAAACTCCTGATGTTTGTGAACTGGAGGTTACATAAGTCCCTGTCTGGACAAAGGGAGGAACTCTCAATCAGACAACAATGTGAGCACAAATCTTCTTTATCTGCTAATGTGTGCTATAAAAGTGCAAACATAATCAAATACTTGTAATTTGCATATATATAACATTAGGAACAGAACCAAAGTTATAATAGTTTGTGCACTGTAGCCTTAAGCCATGGTTTTCCATACACAACACAACATCAATTAATATCACATTTTTCATGTTAATTGCATAATGTTCTTTGTCTGTTGTATAGTTATAATATGTGAGCCGTAGATCATTGTCACAGTATTGATTTAAAACGACTGGTACCAGTGGAGGTGAAAACTTGGGTAGATTTGAGCAATGACATCTTGAATACAGGAGAATAAAGATTACAAACATGCATGAATCATTCTAAATGCAGCTTTGAGTGAGTAAATAAGAAGGAAAAACTATTCTAATTAAAATGATGATTTTGCATAATAGGTTAATTAATAGGTTAGTTAATTGAAAACTTTTTCAAAAGTATTATGCAAATTCCTGAACACAACAGACAAGTTACTTGCTTTGTCAACCCAAGAAGTAAAAGCCATAAGAAAACTCATAAGAAACCATAAGAAACTCAATACAGATATGATTAATGACCAAAGACTGTATAAAGAAGTGGACTAAGGGAGTGTAAAATCACTGATAGCATTCGGTTCGAGTCAAATGAAGCTCACCAAGGCCAGCAGGAGCCAAGTTTCATATTAGGAAACAGAAATGTATTTACTTACAAAATAGAGAAATAAAAACCCCAGGATCATGTAGAGCGAGTTAATATGAACATTTTACGACCGAAATGATGAGGCTCACTGCAACAGTTATAGAGAGAGGGATGACAAATTTTCATTGGAAAGTCAATTGGAAACAGAGTCAATGAAGCCAGAAGCGCCCCCATACTCACTTCCTATTTGCACCACGGCAGCTAATGGGTTAGCTATGTCCATTTATACAGTCCAAGCTAAAGGCAAACTTGATCTACCCCATGAATAATGGTAGTTCCGAAACTATAACCTCCAACAAATTGTCCAGTTTTGTGAGCCCTGGCCGCCCACAGCCTGCCCACACACACTCTTCTACAACATTATAAGGCCCCACACATGGCCCCTTCTCAATAACCCAACTGCAGTCTCTTTGTTCTGGTGTAAATCCCAAAATAAAACCAACAAAAGCCATCCTATTTTCCTCTCTGTCTTCAAAATAACATGGCTGTGTGGCTATTGTGTAACTTAAATTGCTTTTTGCTCCTTAATTAGCTCGAATGGGATGACTGACAATGTGTTAAGACAAATGCAGCACCTTTTGTGTTGCGATGTAATTACAGTATCTTTAATGGGAGCCTTGGTGTCTTATATAATAATGCACAAGGAAAGAAACAATAGAAGATCTTGTAAGAAAGAACAATTTAGCATTTTTTTAGACCACTAAGTACAAGACAACAACTACCACTACTACAACTACAACACTGTTTTTTCTTTAATACTTCAACTGTACAACTGCTAGTGTTTGTACAAAAATTCTCAATATCGATACGAAGGAATTCATTCAATAACAATTACGATACCACATTTAAAAATGCCCCTTTTTTAGTAATAGAATGTAATTTTTATTATACAAAATAATATTAGTATGAGGCCTTATATTCATTCTGATGAAGCTCAAAATCATTCTAAAATTGTTCAGGAAAGATCACATTTTGTTTTCTTAAGGTTACTTTTTGCAGTATTGATACTATGAGTTTTAGTAGTACTTTACTTTTGACAAGCCTAACTACTAGTCCAATGAGAAAAAAGAACCTAATAACATAAGCCTAACTACTGCTACTACTACAACTGTTACTTTATCTTTACACCAAGGTAAGTAAAATATGCATCACAACAAAAAAAGTCAAAGCATATTTTGGAAAATTTACATTCAAATTGTTTAAGCTACATTTTATTTTCACAGGAAAATCTGTGCTCTACATTTGACCCACACATAACCCGTCTGGGAGCAGTGCCTGAGGACCCTTCACCAGATCTGGGTAAGTATCTGTAGCTCGAGGATTAGACTGTTGTGCATTATGTATGAGGGGTGAAAATAGAAAGAAATGCTGACCCAATTTATATATGTGATGCCTGCTATTTCAATGTCATTCTCACATGAAGGTGTATGCAGTTTAAAAACATAGTGGAGCATTTCCTATATTACCACATGACATCACAAGGTGGAAAAGCGTTTTCCGTTTGAGAGAACTCCCAAAGGTGCCTAAGTATGCAGGGTTTGTGTGTTAAACATGTAAATGAAACAAAACAAAACTTTGGGTATGTGTTTGATGAAGAAACAACATTATAACATAGATCAGAAAATAGTGCAATCTAAGCCCTTAAATAATAAAAGAAACATTAACAACCAACAATACAATATCTGAGTGAAACCTGTTTGGGCATACCAGTGCTACCAGGTATTATATTTTCAGCTTTAACACCTGCTATGTTTACATCACCCCTCCCACCCTCCTGACCTCTCCCTGACACTGCACAGTCTCCCACAGAGCAACACAAAGTATGAATGAAGAGTGAGCGAGTAGTGTTAGCATAGCCTGAAAACACGTCTATTTTTATCTTCTGTGCATATCAAAGAGACTCTAGTTGTTTTTCCTCGATGGGAGCACTGTTTCAAGTGTCGGGGCCATTGTTCTCTTGTCAGGTGCTCAGGGGTTGTTGAATACCGTTTGACATCTGCTCTTCCACGCACTGCGTTATCTCTGCTCCAGCTTAAGAAATGCCACTTCTTCCGTTCTGTCAGTGGAGCTTAAAGGTGCATTGTGTAACTTTTCCATCAAATGCTTTTCTCCATGAAGATGTTATTGCTTTGTCTGGAATGTTTCACAGTATGATATTAAACCTTTCAATCTTCATGGAGATCAAACCAGACCAATTTACAGGTCAGAACTGTGGAGCTGCGACCCCACTTACTGTTAGAATGCCTTTTTCTAGGTATTTTCAGGCTATAAAACCACAAAGCTATCTAAAGTTATACTGTGGAACATTCCAGGCAGAGCAATGACCATATCCATAGAAACAAGCAGGAGACGGAGCCCTAACCAAAAAGTTACATAGTGCAACTTTAAGAAGAAAAAGTTGAAAATGTTGATAGGGAAATCTTCTTGCACAGACCCTCTGGTACATTTCTATGCTTCTGATTCAAATCTAGTCATGTTCTTCCTTTCACTGACACAAATAGTCACATTTATATAGCGCTTTTCCACCTTCAGTGCTCTCAAAGTGCTCTCAAGGAACCACTCATTTATTCACACATCAGTTTATGCAGAGACTGGGGGCGAGGTGGGTTAAGTGTCTTGACCAAGGACAGAATGACAGCATTCATCTGTGAATGAATGAGACCACTTTACCAATAATGTTTATGTTGAGAGCGGGATTCAAACTGCCAACTTTCACATCGGTGGACGAACACTACCAACTGAGCTACTGTCTGTCACAATTTTCTCAAAACATCTCGCAAAGATTTTAATTATAAACAAATAACATCTTTTTTATTGATTGTTTACAGATTGTTTACCATTATAAACAATCGTTTAACCATTATATTCGTACAGACAGAGCTGAATGTAAAGAATTACAAAGACTTCTGTTGTGGTGTAATTGCAATTTAAGTAGATTTTTAAACATGTAGTTGCAATTATGTATAATTCTAGCTATGTAATTGTACTTCACTACACGTACGATTGTAAGAATGAAGTACAAACTACAAATTGCT